ATTACTGGGGAGGTGGTCGTCGAGCGCCGTTATTTCGAAACCCAAATCAACGCGCTGTCCGTGGCCCTTCAGCAAGTGTCCGTGGTCAGAGATGCCATGAGACAGGAGAGGGACCAGGCCCCGCTGGACGGCCAGCGCTAGAGGGAAGGGTTCGAAGCCTCCGAGAAGCTTCAGAGTGATGTGGCCTTGGCCCAAAAACACTTGAAGGAGGCCTTGGACGAGTCGGACGCTCTGAGGGCCGAGGTGGAAAGTTTAAAGAAGTCTGTTGAGGACTTAAATCTCCAAATGCGAACACCTTGGACCCCCTGTGCGGATGAGGTGGTCCTCATTGAGCAGAATTTTGAGGACAGGCTGAAGAGCCACTTCTTTGAGGCTTTTGAGCTTATGGTGGACGAGGGAGAGGCGGCCTACTATCAGGAACGCTTCACCAAGCGTCTTAACTTTGTCTGCCTCAGAGAAGAGTCTAAGAAGGTCGGGCAGCCTTCACCTGAACTAGACGTCACGCCAACTACCTTAGAGGAGGAGGAAATCGAAGAAGTGGCGGCCAACAAAGACGGTGAGGCTGAGAGCAAGGAGGCACCTGCTGATGACGCGTCCCCTGCCATCGTTCAAGAGTTTGGCCCAGGCCAGAGTCCAACTTCTGCTCCAGCCGCCCCATGATTTCAGCTTTATTTTTCTGCCTTGTAAACCATTTATGTATATTTTTTCTTGAATTTTTCAACCGCCTTTTCGAGCTGTTTTTATGTAAGATATTTTACCGCCTTTTGAGCGGTCCTTTTATTAATTCAGCTCCCAAATTTTGCTCCATACTTTACACATTTTATACTTAACAATTTTTTTTTTTGCATAGTTTTTTTCATTTTCGTACGCGTACTTTTCACGTTTTTGTATCTTCGTACAATTGGGGGGTATGCCCCTTTATTCGGCGTTCGCCTAGTCCATACTTTGGGTGGTTTTATTGACTTGGTAGAATTTATACCTTAGGTGGTATGACTTCTACCAAGTTAATCAAATCATAATAATGATTGCCCTTGGACTAGGTGGTACGCTGAATCAACACGTTAATTAGCCGTTCAATTCGCTTTATGTGAGTTTGTCCGTTGAAACTATCGCTCGGACGCACTCAGAAAATTCCAAGTATGATCTCAACTCAAAATTTTCATGCTCGGCTGGGCTAGAATTCCTAGGTATGCCCTTGCCCCATTATATGGGTTTCACAGGGTACCTTACCTTTTCCGTCCACCTTAATTAAGGGCGGACGCATTTATATGACTTGGGACTAAGTTGCCCATTCTTATTTTATTTAATTTACTTTTGTTCTGCGACCGAGTTGCTATGTTGCAAGGAACCTACTTGCAAATTTCACGCGGCCGTATAAGTTATGACTGTGTAAATAAGCATAAATAAAATGGAAAAATAATTATAACAATGTTTGACTTGTCATTAATTCGTCAAAATTACATTGTTGTGGTCGTACGACTTACATTGCTCGGTCAACAGACCTAGCTGTATACGCTGCTTTTGGCTAAGTACTTAGACATAATATCTCTTCAGATTGTCTGCGTTCCATGTACGCGGAATGGGTCGGCCTTTCATGGCTTCGAGATGATAAGTCCCATCTCGGACTTCTTCCCTGACTCGATACGGCCCTTCCCAATTTGGGGTCAGCTTCCCATCTTTATTTGCTCGTCCCACAGCCTCCATCTTTCTTAGGACCAGATCTCCCAACTTCATCGGCCGCTTAGACACTCGGCGACTGTACGCCCTTGTCATCCGTAGACGATAGATTTCGTGTCTAAGTGCCGCGTTGCCCCTGGCTTCAGGAAGGAAATCTAGGGCAGTCTTCATGGCTTCCCAATTGGCCGCTTCATCATATAGCATTACCCTAAGGGTAGGCTCATACATTTCAATTGGAAGGACCGCCTCGGGACCATAGACTAAGAAGAAGGGAGTTTCTCCTGTGGAACTCTTGGTCGTGGTTCGTATGGACCACAGCACATTAACTAATTCGTCAGCCCATAAGCCGCCTGCTCTTTCAAGCTTGCGCTTAATTCCATTACAGATCAATTTGTTGTATGCCTCTACCTGACCATTTTCTTGTGGATGGCTGACTGAAGCAAAGCAATGAGCTATGCCTTGGTCTTCAGACCATTCTTTGAGTTGAGGCATTTCGAACTGAGGTCCGTTGTCAAACACCATAGACTGAGGAACGCCAAAGCGTGTAATGATACTCTTCCATATGAAAGCTGAAACATCCGTCCATTTGATGCCCCAGACGGCCTCGGCCTCTACACATTTTTTGAAGTAGTCTACTGCTACAAACACATACCGCCTCTAGCCGGACGCTGGTGTGTATAGACCTAAAATGTCCATCCCCCATTTGGCAAAGGGGAGCGGACTGCTGATGGCCGAAAGAATGTTGGCGGGTCGGTGAATTAATGTTGCGAACCTCTGGCACTTTTCACACTTCTTTACCATTCCCATTGCGTCCGACTTTAAGCTCGGCCAGTAGTAACCCAGGCGGGCAGCCTTTTCAGCCAAAGCTCGTCCTCCAATGTAAGAACCACACTGCCGCTGGTGAAGATCATCCAAGACATCATGCCCTCTCTCAAGAGTGATGCATTTCAGGTACGGCCTTACAAATGCCTTTTTGGACAACTCTCCTTGCTTCATTCCAAACCAGACAGCTCTCTTTTTCATCAGCCATCTCTCTTTAGGATCGACCGGGAGTAATCCATCCTTTAGGTAAGATATGATCCCGTCCATCCAAGTGGAGCTTCTATCAATGGCGTGTACTGTTTGAGCGTCAATAATCCTCTTTTTTTCACTTCCCAAAACACTGACCTGGGAGTATCACATGATGCTGAGGATGCTAACTTAGAGAGTGCGTCCGCCTGATGATTGGACGAACGAGGGACCTGCTGTAAGGTAAAATGATCTAGGCTCTCGGCCTCCTCTTTTACAATCTTCAAGTACTTTATCATGGCCGGCTCCCTCGCCTCGAAGTCTCCATTCACCTGGCCGACTACAATTAGGGAGTCCGAACATACATCAATTTTTGTCGCTCCTGCCACCTTACATATTCTAAGGCCGACCAAGAGGGCTTCGTACTCTGCCTCATTATTAGAGGCTTGAAACAAGAATCTCAAAGCATATTCAAACTTGTCTCCCTCAGGAGACTGACATATAACACCTGCACCACAGCCAATAGCTGTCTCATGACCATCCACGAACACTTTCCAGATCTGATCGCCGGCCGTCTGAAGATCCGGTCGAGTCATTTCAGCTAAATAATCAGCAAAGGCTTGGCCAATAATTGCTTTTCTTGGCTCAAATGCAATGTCAAAGCCTCTCATTTCCAAGGCCCATTAAAGCATACGGTCGCTTGCCTCTAAAGTTGTAAATGGCTTCTTCAGAGGTTGGTCTGTGTAGACCACAATTGAATGTGCCAAGAAGTATGGCCGCAGCTTTTTTGATGCCATGTATAATGCCAAGCCAAATTTTTCAATAGGGGGATACCTTAACTCGGCGTTATGAAGTACGTGGCTGATAAAGTAGATAGGGATCTGGCAGCCGTCCCGTTCAGCAAGTAGGACGACACTTAAGGAGTGTTCTGAGATGGCAAGATAGATAAATAGCTTCTCGCTCTTAAGTGGACTGACAAGCCGAGGCAATGTATGTAGATGGCCTTTTAGCTGTACGAATGCTTCCTCGACCTCCTCTGTCCACTCAAACATGGCTTTCTTTTTTATGGTTTGGAAGAAATAACGGCACTTGTCCCCTGATCTTTACAGAAATCTACCAAGTGATGCTAAACAGCCGGTCAATCTTTGGACTTCTTTAATTGTCCTTGGTGACTTCATATCCATGACAGCATGGATTTTTTTCAGGGTTGGCCTCAATTCCACGTTGATCAATTAAAAATCCGAGAAATTTACCGGACTCAACACCAAAGACACATTTCTTTGGATTTAGCATCATCTTATGCCGCCTGAGTTCGGTGAAAGTTTCTCGTAGATCCTTCAAATGGTCGGCCGACTCTTTTGACTTGACAATCATGTCATCAATGCATGCCTCCATATTCTGGTCGAGCTGATCTCTGAAGACTGTATTAACAAGTCGTTGAAAGGTAGCTGGGGCATTCTTAAGGCCGAATGGCATAACTTTGTAACAACATAACCCCTGCTCAGTCACAAACGCTGTGTTCCCCTGGTCTTCTTAGGGCATGCCTTGTTTAGATCGGTGTAATCCACACACATTCTCCAAGTTCCATTCGACTTCTTCACAAGGACCACATTGGCCACCCATTCTGGGTAATAACATTGCCGAATGAAACCGGCGTCCAGAAGCTTCTTGACTTCTGCTACGGCCGCCTGATTCCTCTCCTCTCCATGATTCCTTTTCTTCTGGCGGACAGGTTTAACGACCGGGTTTACAGCCAATTTGTGCACGGCCGGGTTAGGGCTTATACCTGGCATCTCGCCAACATCAAAAGCAAATACATCTTTTAACTCTCTCAACAATTGAATTAACTCATCCCCAAGCACACCCACAGCTATAGGGCCTACACTAACCGTCCGACTTGGATGATCGGGGTCGAACACTATATCCTGGTGACTGCCGGCCGACTGTGGTCGTAACTCGACCGGCCGACCGTCAGTCATTAGTTGCTATGCTTGCTCTATCTTTTTCACCTTACGCTTCTGGCCGACCTGCTGTGTTGGGAGTGAGGTTCCTTCTTCTTTTGGCTCGGACGATTTTGGTCCGCGTGTTGTAGGCTTAACTGCCAACTAATTACATTCTTTTTCCATCTTCTGAATTCCTTGGATCGTGCCTATTTTCTCGTCCGTCCTCTCAACCTTTAGCAGCATTAGGTGAGGCACAATGACTGCTTTTGCTACATTCAGTGTAGGACGTCCGAGTATGACAATATATCCAGTCAGTTCTTTCACAACCAAGAAGCGGACAACCATATCTCTTCCTTCCCCTTTTTGCCCGAATCAGACAGGTAAGTCAATCCGTCCCACTGGGTGGATGACATTCCCCTCAAATCCAACCAACGGGTGAGGGATGTCCTGGAGAGCATCCTCTGGGAAGCTTAGATTTTTCAAGGCGGCCAGGCTGATGATATCAGCCGAGCTACCCGTGTCAATTAATATTCGTCCGACCTTCCAGTTGGCTATCTTAATAATGAATACCATGGGATCATTGTGCAAGGCTTTGACCTCCCCCCGATCAGCTTCACTGATGACTACTTCGGGGAAAGGTTCGGCCTTCACTGAATCCATTTGCATTACTTTACCCAAGTTCCGGGCGTTCTGCTTGATCCCCCTCATAGTAGGGCCGCCTGAAGCAAATCCTCCTGATATCACGGCCACAAAGCCTGAATCAGTGTTGTTGCCATCATCTTCTTTATCTTTGTTATTATCATTCTTCTGTCTTTTCTCGGACGTGTTGTTTGTCCGTGTGTAAGTGAATTTGGACTTCATCACATATGAATTCAGCATGCCCTTCTCGGCTAACTTGTCCAGCAGTCTCTTTAAGTTGATACAATCATTTGTGTCATGTCCCACGTCCTTGTGGTAATGACAATACTTGTTCTTGTTCCTATACTGAGCCGGGCCTCTCAGCGGCTGTGGCTTCTCAAACTCAAACTTATCCTTGATTTCCATCAAGATAGAATAACAATCCTTGTTGAATTCAAACTGAGGCTCGTACGCCTTGACCTTCTTGGACTTCTGTGATTGGGCGTCAGCCACCTTGACTTCCTTTCTCTTTTTTCCTTCTTTCTTTTGGCCGGTCGAGTCTTGCTGAGGAGATTTTTTCTCAGCTCCCTTGGCCGGCGCTTCTGTTTTTTGTGAGCGAACAAAAGTCAGTCACTTCAATGTAAGCTTCGGCTTACCGCGGAACACCTGCGTATGTCCGAATCTTTTTCCGTACCAAGTCTAATTTAAAACCATTGTGCCTTAACCCCCGGAGAAATTCAGAGTAAGCCATTTCGTCCGGCAGATTATGAATTTGGGCTTTTTCTTGGTTAAATCGCTGGACGTGCGAGCGTAAGCCCTCACTTTTTCCTTGGACGATTGTCGCCAAGTTAAGACTAGTCTTTCGAGGCGGTATATTGTATGAAAAATTTCTCACGAACATTAAGCTAAGAGTAGTAAAACAATTGATACATCCGACCGGCAAAATGTTGAACCAATCTTGCGCCACACCTTTTAGAGTGGCCGGGAAACATTTGCACCAAGTAGCATCATCTACGCTTTGCAAGTACATCAGGTTCCTGTACGAGGTGATTTGCTCTTCTGGGTTGCCCGTGCCATCATAGGCTCCCACAAGTACACTCTTCACCTTTGGTGGCTGAGAGGCATTTAAGATATCTTGCGAAAACAAGGGCGGATTTTCTCCCAGAGTAAGTAGGCGCATCTTCCAATCGATGGGTTGCGGTTGCACGGACGGTCCAGCTAGATAGGGAGCCTGTCCGTACACCTATCCGTATGGCCCATATTGTCCATATGCCTGGGGGTTCGGCTGCATCAAGCCATTGAACCCCTGAGGAGGCTGATATTGCAGTGATTGGGCTATAATGGGAGTTGGAGCATGAAAGACTAGAATAGGAGTTGGGGTGCGGACCGCCTGACTTCCGCTGGAGATGGTCGTGTTGGTATGCTGGGAAAGAGAATGATGTGAAAAATCATCAGGCATAGTTGGGGTTGAGGCCGTGTCCGAGTAGGCGACGTGCTCCAACTGCTTGTGCCGAAGGTAATCTCTTGCGTCCTTCCATCGTCTGGACGGCTCAAGCTCCTCTCTTCGAGGCTGCCTACCCCTCCCCCCAGCCGACTGCGTTTTCGCCAGCAAGTCAGAGAAATTAGTCCGCGGTACTCTCGGGGACCTTCTAGTCGGCCTTCGAAAGGGAGTGTTTCCAGCGTTCGTTGCATGGATCGCTTTGTTGTGTGTCTTCTTTGGAGCCCTCTGTTCCTCTCTCCTGGGCGGCTGCCTAGAGGTAGAGGCTCCATTTTGAATTTCTTTTTTGAGTTTTTTAAGCGCGGCCTTAAGAGAGGCAGCGGTAACAGGAGGGTCGTCAGCTTCTTCAAATGTGGCCATCAGAGGATCGCTAGTACGGATCGTAGGGATTAAATCCTCTACATGTCCATCCTCGCCTGGATGAGGTGTCTGACCGTCTGTTGCCATAACATACGAGTATCCCCACAGACGGCGCAAAATGTTTCGGGGGTTTTTTGGATTTTCTAGGATACTGGTCACGCTCTTCTGGCAATGAGTCGGTCCCACCTGCAAAACAACGAATATTCCGATCAACGGAATATTCGCCTCCGTCGATCAAGTCAGTGATCAGAACGGAAAAGGCTAGAGAGAGAAAGTAGAGAGAAGTTGGAGCTATTTAATGCTCTATTATTTTCAATTGTCTGAATCCCCCCCCATCATAAATGATTGTAGTATTTATAGGGGTGGGACTCGTGCCCCTCTCTAGGGTTTATACCCTAGATTTGCGTGACGTGATTGGTTGTGCAATCAGCGAATGTCACGTGCTACTCTGGGGGGCGCCGTTTTGCGGCTTCCATTGTTATCTCTCGGGATTTGGGCCCTGACGTTGCTAGGGTTTTCTGGCATGTTGATTGTTAAGGGAACAAATGTCCTTGACTCATGGCATCTTCTCATGACGACACGTGTCACCCTCTGACTGGGCCACGTGTCGCGACGAGACTGGCCTGCGGCTTTAAGGGCTCTGAATTACGTGGCATCTTCCCGTGGTGACACGTGTCACCCTATAACTGGGCCACGTGACACTATGGGATTGGTCCATGTATACGGGGTATTTTTACCCACAACACCTTTGATCAATCATGAATTCGAGAAACTTCCCAGACTTAGCACCAAAGACGCATTTCTTAGGATTTAACATAACCTTATGCCGCCTGAGTGTGGTGAAGGTTTCTTGGAGATCAGTCAGGTGATCCACGTGCTGCTTGGATTTTACTATTATGTTATCAATGTACGCTATTCCTCCCAATTTTATTAATGAAGACCGTATTATTCATCCATTGGATTGTAGCCGGCGCATTTTTCAAGCTAAACGACATCAGAGTGTAACAGAATAACCCCTGATCAGTAACGAATGCCGTCTTCTCTTGATCTTTTTTCCACAGGGGTATCTGATGGAAGCAGGAGTAGGCAACCATGAAACTCATCAAGGAATGCCCGGCTGTTGAATCGACCAGACTGTCGATCTTTGGAAGTGGGTAACTGTCCTTCGGACATGCCTTGTTGAGGTATGTGTAATCAACACACATACGCCAGGTACCATTCGACATCTTTACAAGCACAACATTTGCCATCCAGTTTGGAAAATTACATGGCCGAATGAACCCAGCGTCCAACAACTTTTTTACTTCGGCAGCTGCCGCCTGACTTCTCTCTCGCCGTGATTTCTTTTCTTTTGCCGGATGAGCTTCTTTTTAGGATCCACGGCGAGTTTGTTGACAGCAAGATCCGGGCTAAAGCCTGGCATCTCCTACACTTTTAAGGCAAATTTTTTTTTGAATTCTCAATGATCTGAACGTATGAGAACCCGCCTACTATGGTGTAGACCGGCTCCTTATCAGTGTCCGAACTACTAGCAGGATGGGGTGTCTTGGATGACTGCCCCGGGTTCTTCTTATTAGTCCCTTTGGACTTAGAGAAATAGCAATTTAACATCCCTTTGAAAACCAGACGGTCCAACGACCGTTGAAGGCTGAAGCATTCGTTGGTGTCATGGCCAACTTCCTCATGTTATTGGCAGAATTTATTTTTGTTCCTTGATTGAATGGAACTTTTCATTGGATTCGGCTTCTCTAGGGACAGTCGGTCCTTGATCTCCATGAGGATGGAGTTCCAGTCCTTGTTAAACTCGTACTTAGGATCGTACAGTTTAAATTCTTTCTTCTTCTTCTGAGACGGCTGGTAAGAATCACTAACCGCCCAGACTTCTTTTCTTTTCTTGCTCTCTTCTTTCTTCTTGGCCGGATGAGCAGGCCGGCTGTCTTTCTGTTTATCAGACTTCTAAGAGTCCGACTGGTTACCAGGAGAGCAGAGGTCGGTTGCTTGAATATAGATTTCCGCCTCCCTCAAGGCCGCCTGTAAAGTGAAAGCCCCTTTTCTGACTAGGTCGAACTTAAAAGTCGACCCGTCTCTCAGACCCTCGCAAAATTCTGTAAAAGCTTCCTCGTCGGACAGTCCTTGAATCTAAATTCTGATCAGATTGAACCGCCTGACATAGGAGCGCAATCCTTCTCTCTCCCCCTGCTTAATGGTGCTCAAGTCAAGACTTATTTTCTTCGCAGGGATGTTCATCGAGAAGTTGGAAGCGAACAGGAAGGCAAGCTTCCTGAAACTATCAATGGACCCGGCTGGCAGGTTGCCAAACCATTGTTGGGCAATGCCCTTCAATGTAGCCGAGAAGCATCCACACCAAGTGGCATCATCCAACCCTTGTAAGTACATGAGGTTGGTGTAAGCCATGAGGTGATATTTTGGGTTGGAGGTACCGTCATAGGTGCCTACCAACACATTTTTAACCTTGGTCGGCTATGCCCCCTCGGTTATCTCTCGGGTGAACGCAGAAGTTCACCCAGGCGGAGCAGACGAAGCTGCCATTCCAGAGGCTGGACGTTGTTGTATGCCTCATGTCTTCCAAAAAGGGTCGGCTGCATGAAATAGGGAGAATACTGACCGTAGACCTGAGAAGGTACATACGCTGCATTACCAATCATATGAAGACCAGAATGGACGGTACTACCTCCTGTTTGGCTCTCATGCAAGGAAGGAACATTCTGTGCAGAAGTGTTGTTAAAGCTGTCTGGAAAGTTTGACGTAGATGCCGACTTAGACAGTTTCTTATTTCTCTTCCGGGTGATGATCTCCCGGGCGTCAAGAGTTGATTTTTTGCTTCCCACCGGCTGTTGTGTCCGGCGGGGGTTGTTGGCATTCCTCTTAGGCAGAAGAATTTTGGACCAATCAATGGTCTCGACTTCCTTCTCCTTTGGATGAGGAGTTGGTTGCCGATCTCAAACTGACTTCCCCTTCTCAAGATGAGTCTTTTTTTTTGCCGACTGACCCCTGCTTGGGCCAACCTGGCTCTAAGTGATCAGATCATTAATTTTACCCTTGAAAATTGTCATTAATTTCATGTGTTCGTCTCGAGTGACAGGAGCTGATCCACATGCCGTATGGGTTTTCCCTTCCGGCTGCCCAAGAGGTCAATTTGTACCCGCCTGGCTGGCACCCCACTCCAGAGTGTCTCTGGGCCGGATGCGCTTGGTTATCAAGGAGCCATCATCGGCTATATAAGTTTCAACCTGAGGATCTTCATTCTCATGGTCAGTGAAAACTTCCGGGTCAACGCCCAGACGCTTAGGAGGTGGTACAGACTCTTGAACCATCCTTGAGGTACTCTCCCCACAAACGGCGCCAAATGTTTTGTGTGTTTTTGTCCCTCGGGAGAGTTACGTTATAAAGATTGGTCTGGCTGAGTTGTACCTGGAAAACAACGGAGAGTCCAGGTGGTTGGAGCTCCGCCTCCGAAGATCAAGTTAGTAACTTGAAAGAGAATAAAGAGTACAGAAATTTAGGTGGGGATCTGCTTGGATTCCAAGCTCAGGTGTTTCTGTGATGAGAGATAATGTAGGTGTAATAAATGATTGAACGTGTCACCAAAATGGGGAAATATCTCCCTATTTATAGGGTTATTGGTCGGAGTGCCCCTATCTGGGTCATTTGACCTAGGTTTTGGTTGGCTGCGCCGAATTACGGCGCTTCTTGGGATTTGGGCCCTTGAAGGCCGCCATTTCA